AGTGTGGTGGTAGTTGTTTAGGTTGTTTTTTTCTTGCTTTTGTTGTTATTTGTCTCAAGCCAAGATTTCTCTGTGTAGCCCTGGCTGTCCTGGAACTTGCTCTGTAGACCAGGCTGATCTCGAACTCAGAGATCCATCTGCCTCTGTCTCCTGAGTGCTGGGTTTAAAGGCGTGTGCCACCACTGCCTGGCCTAGGTTATTATTTTTAAGGCATGGAAAGCTGTGACTCAAAGCCCCTCACTGAAGTGTCTTTTTTTTTTTTTTGAAACAGGGTTTCTCATTGAACTGGAAGCTCGCCGAATAGCTAAGCTAGTTATCCAGAAGCTCCAGGAATCCTCCTACGTCCTGCCTTCCCAGGGTTAGAGGCGTGTGCTGCTTACAAGAGTGCTCGGGACCCAGCCTCTGGTCCTCATGCTTGTGTGGCACATACGTTACTGACTGAGCCATTTCCCCCAGGTCAAGCTTTGTACCTAAAGCAGAGGTTCTCAACATATGGGTCGTGACCCCTTTGGGAGATGGGTCACATATCAGACATTTGCATTATGATTTACATTTTTATCTTGCCAAGGGACAAAATTACAGTGATGAAGTAGCAACTGAGAGTAATTTTGTGGTTGGGGTCACAGCGTGAGGAACCGTATTAAAGGGTCCCAGGTGGAGGTTTTTAAAGAAGCATTTGTTCTCACGCAGCCTTGGTGCTATGGCTGGAAAGTTGCTCATACAAGGGCACCCATGTGGTGGGGACTTTCTGAGTGCCAGGCTGAGGAGCTCTGGATCCTTGAGGTGTCTGGACAGCCACACACAGATGGCCTGAGCCACACGCACCTCATCGCACAGTCCCTGGTCTGAGTCTTGCCTCCGTAGGCAGGAGATAGGCAGGGCTGAGTCCATGGATATGCCTTCCTCGCTATGCTCACTGCTCAGGGAGACAGAAGAGTCAGGCAGGAGTGAGACATCCGTCCACTGGCCTTCTGGTCCCGTCTTGCCAGGTAGAGAGACCCAAGCCTAGTGACTGCCTCAGCTGACGGCCAGGCCACTGGACTTAGCCCTCGGGTGGACAGCTTAGCGTGCTGTCCATTTCACGTCTTCTTGCTTTTGCTCTGTTTCATCCCCCACGGCAGTGGTTCTCAACCTTTTTTTTTTTTTTATGGTGTTGGTTTTTTTCGAGACAAGGTTTCTCCGTGTAACAGCTCTGACTGTCCTGTCGATGTGTAGGCCAGGCTGGCCTCGAACTCACAGAGATCTGCCTGCCTCTGCCTTCCAAGCGCTGGGATTAAAGGCGTGCGCAGCCACTACCTGGCCTTCTTACTACTGTGATCCTTTAATACAGTTCTTCATGTGGTGACCCCCAACCATAAAACTTTCATAGCTACTTCGTGACTGTAGTTTCGCTACTGTTATAAATTGTAATGTAAATATCCGATATGCAGGATAACTGATATATGACCCCCAAATGGGTTGCGACCCACAGATTGAGAACCGCTGCTCTGAGGGGGAGCAGGTTCTCACCGCGGTCCAGGGAGTCTTCAGGGGAGGGGCACACACCCGATGTCCTGAGTAGCTCTTTCTTACCGTTGTTCAGTCTTGGACTCGGGGACTCTTCTTCCCAGAAGTCCTTGGCTGCCTCCCCCTGCTTGCCTGTCGCCTGTGTAGCACAGACATCTGCCCACTGCGGCACTGGCTCAGGGATGCCAAGGAGCTTTGGATCCTTCTGTAATTAAAATGTCCCACTGGCCTGGGAGATGTGACTGTGCCACCCACAGCTCCTGCAGCTGGGTCTGCTCCAGTCAGGATGGCTCCTTGGGCTGTCATTCCAGGCAGGAATAAGTGGGGACGCTAGCCAGAGTGCGTTTGGTGGCCATGTGGCGGTCTCGCCTTTGCTGGCCCTATCATGTCAGTGTGACCTTGGGTCCATCTCAGCCTGGGACGCACAGGACATGCTTGTTGTGGGTAGGGGCTGTATGGCTTCCCTCCTATTTAGAACCTTGCAGGCTGGGGATAGAGCTGAGGGAGTGTCCTCTGGTCATGGGAGCTGCTGGACAGACTGAAAAACAAAGGGGTTCCTTCTACCCCGTCCACCCCACTTATGGTGTCTAGAACTTGCAAAGCAATCTATAGAGAGGACATCTGCACCCTTGGTCAGTCCTATGCCACACACAGAAGTGTTCCTCTATTTCTTAGGCATCCCGAGGGCCGCCCTGTGTGGAGGGGGCCTGGTCCCTGGGGACACAGGCAGAGTGTCCTTGGGATTGGCACTGCCAGCCCCATGAAGGTCCCTAACTCTGTTGAGGAAGAGAGTGCTGCAGCTGTGCTGTGGGAACTCTCACGTGCCTGGACTCAGTTGTGGAAGGACGCCCAACGTAAGAGGACCCTGCCCCCACTCGGTACAATTCCATCTCCCACCACCACTGTGTCCACACAGCCCATTGTTTGTCTGCGCCCCGATGTGGCTTTGCCTGCCAGTTCCCCCCGTAGTCCTAGTTTGAGTATAGCTGTGCCTGTCTTGTCAGTCTTATGGAATAACTGGTGTTCCTCCCCCTGGGGATGGGGAGAGGCTGGGAGGGGCTATACCCTGACACCATCACGGCATAAGTGCCTTACCCTGGACTGAGGGTCAGACCGGTAGCTGCTGAGGACAAAGACTAGCCCATCCCTGCAGGCATCCAGTGAGTCCTGACCCCTCAACCTGGCGACCAAGGTCCAAGCTCTGCTTTGGAGATGATCCTGACACATGGCGGTGGGGGGGGGCTGCATTGAGACCGGGCCTTCCTCATTAGCCTGGGGCCCCATGGGGGCATCCCACCTGCTGTGCCCCTGTACTTGAGTACCGAAGCTGAAGATGGTGTAGTCTCGGGGCTCAGGCTGGGTTCCCTCCGTGGCAGTCCCTGGGTCCACACATCAGGGCTGAGCCTAAGGAGAGGCCATGGTGGTGCTCTGGACGGCCCTGCACCTGCTACCATCTGGGGAAACCGAGTCATGAAGAAGATAAAGGGAGGTCCACGTTGGCTCCCCAAGACTCTTGGTCTCCAGTTCTTGAGGGACAACAACAATTCCAGATTGGTCTGGTTATGAATGCTTGGGGCTTCTGCCCCACCACCCCCAAACACACATGCGTAAAACATCTACTCTCCATTCTAGTATAAATGCCAGGATGCACGATCAGAAGGCTGTCAGGCCAGCATGGAGTGAAGGGCCAGATGCTATGAGTGGGCACCAGGGAAGGGTGCTAGGCAGGCAGAGGCTGGAAACGGGACAAGACCATGGTGAGGGAAGAGGCTGAAGGGGCTCTGGCTGTAGAACTGATGTTGGCTAAGGGTGTGGATTTCTTTCAGAGAGGACCCAGCATGTGGGTGTCTCTGGGGAAGGCCGGGTGGAAGAATTCCGGCTACTTAGGCCAGAACAGTCAGGAAAGCGGTGGCTAGCACATTCTGCAATCAATGTCGCCCTCTGTTGGCCACATTGGACATTGAGTTAAAACCAGGATTTCTTAGCCTAGGTTGGATGGCAGAGTTGTTTCCTATTCAACCAGGGACAACTGACCAGACAGAGCCTGTCTCCTCTTCTGAGAAGATCAGGATGTTTGGCTCCAGGTACACCCAGTGAATGAGTCCCCTTCAGCACGCTGACCCACATCCCCAGGAGGCCCTGAGTGTGAGTCTAACTATGGGGTGCAGGAGGAAGAAGAGGGTCCTTACACTGTGATCTTGGGAGCAGGCTGGGTCAGGCTCCCTGTGGCTGCTTCCAGGAATTCATCTTCTAAAGCAAGCTTTGGAGGCTGAGACAGGGTGGGTGTTTGGTCCCCTGGGCCTGCATGAGGAGTTCAGACCACATGAACAATGGCGTCAAGTTGTGGGATCATGGGGAGGCTTGATAGTGTTAAAGATGAAGGAACAGGAAGGGGAGCCATTTCTATGGCTGAGGAACTGTCCATGTTTCCTCTCAGTTTATTCACCCTGAAGAACCTTCTCCATCCTGCTCCAGCAGAGCAGAGCCAAGTCCAGGACCAGGCCACAGAGGGCAATCCCAGGAAGGAAGAACAGCAGCAGGGAGGACAGGATGTCAGGGGTTTCAGGACCCTTCCTACCCTAGCATTGGTCCAAGGCTGACCCCCGAGTCCCTAGTAAATATGAATTCTGAGCCTCTACTGCTTGGTGGGACATAGTGGAGCGAAGAGGGGTGAGTTGGAGCCTGTGTGTGTATGTGTGTGTGTGGTGTATGTGTGTGTGTGTGTGTGTGTGTGTGTGTGTGTGTGTGTGTGTGTGTGTGTGTGTGTGTAAGTGCGTATGTGTATAGGTACCCGTGTGCATGTGGAGTCCTGAGGACAACCTTAGGTGATATTTCTCCAGCACTATCCACCTTGGTTTGTTGTTTGTTTGGTTTTTGTTTTGTTATTGTTGTTGTTTTGGAATGTTTGCTTTGTTTGAGACAGGGTCTCACTATGTAGCCCTGGCTAGGCTGGAACCCACTATGTAGTCCAGGCTAGCCTAGAACTCACAGAGGCTTTTGCCTCCGGAGTGCTGGGATTAAAAGTGTTTGTCACAGTTTGGAGAGATGGCTCAGAGGTCCTGGGTTCAATGCCCAGCAACCATGAGGTGGTTCACAACCATCTACAATGAGATTCAGTGCCCTCTTCTGGCTTACAGGTGCACATGCAAGCAGAACACTGCATAATAAATAGATAAATCCTCAAAAACAAGTGTTTGCCATGATGACTGGGCACTCTTATGTTCTGAAACAAGGTCTTTCACTGGCCTGGCACTCATCAAATTTAGTTGGGCTGGCTGTGCAGTGAACTCGACAGATTAACCTGTCTCTGACTTCCCAGTGCTGGAATTACAAGCATGTGTCACAACACATACCTTTTCCCATCTGTGTCCTGGGAACCAAACTCAGGTTCTAGAAAGGCAAATACTTTTATCTATTTAAGCTATCTCCCTAGCCCTTGGCCCTTTAAGAGGGCAGTTCTGCCCCTCCCCTCGAGTGACCCTGTTGCCTAGCAACAGGAGTCAGTTGGTGTATACAATGTTCCTGAGGCAACCAGGAACCTTACTCAAGACAAAGTGACCAGTACTGCCCCATTGATCATTGATTGTGCCGGGACCACTGCCCAGTGACCCTCTCTTCATTCTTCCCCCTTCCTGCTCAGCCAGGCAGTGGGCACCATGGCACAAACGGATGTGCTCCTGACCAAGGAGCCAGCCCCACAGTCAATACAGGCCTGTGAGCTGCCCCACAAACAGTATGATGTGGCCTGCAATACTGGCGCCTACACATCATCCGGGCTGGCCACCGCCGGCTTCCGCACAGCCAAGTACCTGATGGATGAGTGGTTTCAGAACTGTTATGCCCGCTACCACCAGGCCTTTGCAGACCGGGACCACTCTGAGCGGCAGCGGCATGAGAGCAGGCAGCTGGCAGCGGAGACAGGGGCGCTGGCCCGGCGCACACAGCAGGACTCCACACGAAGGGTTGGGGAGCGCCTGGAGGACATGCATTGCTGGAAGTCAGAGCTGCAGCGAGAGATAGAGGAGCTGTCTGCCGAAACTGACCTGATGTTGGCCCAGAAACTGCGGCTATCCCGCGCCTTGGATGCCATGGCTATACCCTTCTCCATTGCCACCGACAACCTACAGTGCCGAGAACGCCGCCAGCACCCAGACCTTGTGCGGGACTACGTGGAGGTGGAGCTCCTAAAGGTGCAGCTGGGGGCTCAGGCCCAGAGTGGGAGGCAGGCTCTGGCACTCCGGGCCAGACACAGACATCACAGGGCCTCAGGGTTCACACAGTGCTATGCTCCTCTGCCCATGGAGGACCTCTGGTCCTTCAGACACAGGAGGATTTCTACAAGGATGGAGTCTCTGACTTCCAAGTAACTTTCTCTCTTTTGGGATCCCCTCCAGCCCCCAAGATTTCAAAGACATTAACTCCGACCCTGAGTGGTTCTTGTTTGTTTGTTTGTTTTTTGCCAAGTCATAGCCTCGCTGGTACCAGAATGTCCCTTGTTGAGGTATTTGCTCCTAAGGTAGAGAGCCAGGCCAGAGAGAGTTAGAGGGCCATGGCATCTGCCTTTTCTACCCAGAGTCCCAGAGCCTCAGCCTCGAAGATCTCCTAGTATACTAGGAGGAAATCTTAGAACCCCAGCATCGGGGAGACCAAGGAAGGAGGATCGCAAGTTCCAGTTCAGGCTGGACTATATGGCAATACTCTTCAAAAACAAAGCAAAACACGCCACCTCCTCCCCACATCAGACACCTTTCCCCCCAAACCCAGCACAAACTTGCTTTGGGGAGCCATGTAATAGGACAAGGGGGGTCACTCATCCTGAATGCTGTACAACCTTGAATCCCCCAGAGCTGGAGCCTCCTGTGGTGGGCTTATCTGGGGACAATGATGGGGAAATAAACAGCCAGGCTAGGACCTCAGGGAAGCCCTGTCATACCCCAGGCCTTGACCGCCCTGATGTGTAACTGAAGCATTGTCGGTGGTACAGAGGTGGTGGCTTACTGAGGACACAGGACAATGGGGAGCATGACCCATGTGGACTCGCACAATACAGAATCCCCGATACCCAGAAAATGTTGGGGCAAAAGGAAGCCCAGAGTTTCCTTCTTATTCTTGGTGGGCAGTGGGCAGCAGACAGAGGGCCTCTGACTTCCTATGGGCTTGGGGTCCTCGGAGGTGCCCTAGGGCCTGAGATAAGGCTGATGCCCTTCAGTGTACCCCTAGAGGAAACACTCATTTACAACATGCCAAAAGCACCCGGAATAAGCCTAGCATGAAAGGGCTGGGCTCAGACATCTTTTTCTGAGGACTAAGGCAAAAGCCAATGGAGGTGGGGTCCATGCCTTGGCTCCTGCTGGGCTCCTCAGTCCCTCCCCAGGAGGAGAGGCAGGCGCTGCTGCTCAGGGCTCTGTCCTCTCCAGGAAGCTGAACTCATCAGGAACATCCAGGAGCTCCTGAAGAGGACTATCTCGCAAGCCGTGGGCCAGATACGGTGAGTCACAGCAGGGGGTCCTGCCCCAAGGCTGGTGGGAGGTGGGAGGCAGGACAGCTAGGCACAGGGACGCTGGATCACAGCCAGGAATGCAGGCACTCCTAGGCGGGGCATACACAGCTGTCTCCATTTTTGTCCTGGGACCTGGGCACTGCTGGCCACTGAAGGATGCCAGAGCAGGAACTGGAGTCCCCGCAAACTGGAATGGGACCTGCTTCTCGGTGCTCCCTAGCACATAGTGGGTCCTGCCCCTCCCCTGCCCGCTAGGCTGAACAGGGAACACAAGGAGACCTGTGAGATGGACTGGTCAGACAAAGTAGAGGTCTACAACATCGACGACACCTGCACCCGCTACAACAACGAGAGCACCCAGGTGCAGTTCCACCCGCATTCCAGCAAGTTCGAGGAGAGGTAGGCTCCTGGGCATTCCCGTTTGCCCCTGTTTTGGCTCTACTTCTAAAATCTGAGGAAGGACTCTTGACTCTACTTCCAAAATCTGAGGAAGGACTCCTGCCTCCACAGACCTGAACCCGTTATCTGGGGGAATCTCTGTCCGCAGTTGGGGTGGGAACACGAGAAGCTCCTTGCCCAAGTGCCTGGCACAATTTTCACAGGGCTGGTGCCTGCTCCAAGCCCTGGATCCCTGTGGGTGGCTTGGACTGTGTTTCTGCTCGCGGCCAGCAGAGGGCGAGCAACAGCCACTAGAGGCCCGGGAGAACCTCGGGGTGTCTGTGTGGTGCGGGTACAATGGGGATCGCCTGCAGTGCAGGAGCCTCTGAATGGCTACACCCCGACCAGGCTGTCCCTCCACCCTCAGTGCCTCCACTCCCGAGACGTGGGCCAAGTTCACTCAGGACAACCTGCTTCGAGCCGAACGTGAGCGGCTCGCCTCGGCTAACCTGCGGAAGTTAATTGACTGCATCCTGCGGGATACCGCCGAGGACCTGCGGCTGCAGTGCGATGCAGTGAACATGGCTTTCGAACGCCGCTGCGAAGAGCTGGACGACGCCTGCCACAAGCTGAAGTACCACCTGCAGAAGGTGGGACCGCAGGCCACACCCACCTGTCCGTCCTCACCCAGGACACGCCTGCCATGCTTAGGGCGCACCCACGCACATCTGGACTCACCCCACCTCCCCTCTGGAAATGCCCACCTGCCCCCCCCCGAACCACGCCCTTCCCTCACTCGTGCCCTTAACCACAGGGGCCAGGGTGCCTGAGATCAGGGTTGCTACATACTCTATGCTCAGTTACGACCTGGCTTCTGTGACCCAGAAGCAGACATCCAAACACCTCTGAAGGCCCCCTGAGCGGATGTAAACGCAGGTCTATATTTGGTAGTGGTCTGCTGACACAGCTTCCAGGAGGCTGACCTGTAGGAGCTGGCAGTCGTGGGGTTTGGGAGGGAGGAGGTATGGGGGCACAGTGTGCCGGTGGGGTCCTGCTCTTGCCTCTTATTGTGGCCTTCCCTGCCTCCAAGCCCTGACTTTCTTGGTCAGGGCTGGAGGACAGACAGACTGTCATAGGAGCCGCTGGAGGACTCACTGTTCCCAGTGAGGGCCAGGAGCAAGCGGTCGGGCCCTCCCCACATGCCGGGTTGGGGGGAGACAGGTGCCCTGATCACTCCAAGCTTCAGCCTGCCTCAGGCTCACACACTGCCCTGTGCAGACGCTGAGGGAGATCACGGACCAGGAGCACGAGGTGGCAGCCCTGAAGCAGGCCATCAAGGACAAGGAGGCCCCTCTGCGTGTGGCCCAGACTCGCCTGTACCAGCGGTCACACAGGCCCAATGTGGAGCTGTGCCGGGATGCGGCACAGTTCAGGTATCGCTGGCGGATGGAGCAGTTCTGGGTGGCTAGGGTCATCCCTGAGCCCCTGGAATCTTCCCCAGACCCTGAGGCCCCCATGAGATCACTCCCAGCTACGAGCAGGCATGAAGCTGGGGTGGGGGACCCTTGCAGAGGGTTGAGTGTCAGGAATACCACAGGGTCCTGTGTCACTCTGGGGTGACTCACCCTCCTGGAAGGAGCTTAGAGTCTGACAGCCTGGACCCCTGAGGTCACAGATCAGAGAGGTGAGGCAGGGCCACCACCCACCCTGTATCTCTGATGTAATCCTGTGTTCCATGTACCTCCTACAGGCATGGTGGGTTATGTCTTTATTTTCCTCATCTAGCCAGTGCCAGGATGTCCTTCTAAGCATAAGTGTCTGTCTTCTTTGTCCTTTGTTGACTATAATTTTGTTCTAGAGATGAAGGTTTCACAGGTAGTTCCTGCCTGGAAACATAAGAGTTAGCACCTGTTCAGGCTGCCGTTGCTTACTTTCACCCATTGCTTATCTTCGCCACAAGAGGGCAGTATTGCAAGACTGTCTCTCCCAGCTGTGGTGCAGCTGCGGGAGGCCCCTTAGGCTGGAAATGAGGGCCCTTCTTGATTCATGCCAGGTTCCCAGTAATTTTGCAACACTGTAGCCATTTCGGAGGGGGTTCCTGTAAGCCTTTTGGAGTTCTCTGTGGCATCACTGCCCCTTCCCTTGTCTCTCCCCTAACTCACCATTCCCTTCCCTGCAGGTTGCAGACTGAGGTGGAGGAGCTGTTCATGTCCCTCAAGGCACTGAAGGAGAAGCTTCAGGACTCAGAGCAGGCGCTGCGGAACCTGGAGGACACACGCATGAGCCTGGAGAAGGACATCGCGGTCAAGACCAACAGCCTCTTCATCGACCGCCAGAAGTGTATGACCCACCGCAGCCGCTACCCCAGTGTCCTCCAGCTGGCTGGCTACCAGTGACTGGGGCTGGCACCTGGCCACACGGTCTCATCCAAATAAAGAGCGCCTTAGTTTTCCACCTAGGGTGTGGGGCAGCGTGGAGAGGCAGGTGCTGTCCGTTTGGACAGGCATTTCAGAACTTCTGTACAATCAGGCTTTGCCCATGAGCCCACGGTTCTCCATACTGCCGGGAAAATCATCTTCCCGGGTGAGGCCAGGTACTCCCCCACATCCCCACTTGGAGCCCCTCCAAGCCTGGTTTCTCTTATCTTCACCAGCAGTTGTTGGGGACACTGCTCGGCGTCCCTTCCTTCTGACCCCAGGCCTGAGGCGAGGCGTGCATCCTTTTGACTAGGCCCTTTACCTCTACATGACGTTCCTCCTGATGTTAGCACTACTCAAAGAAATTCTTCAGGTGGAACCCCTTCCCAGTCACATGCAATTAATCCCCCACAACTCAGCATCTCTCACTGCCCAGTGCTCCCAGAATGGAGTCATACTCTGACGGTGGGGGTAGGGGTGGACTGTAAGCGGGGGTGGGGTGGGGGATGGGGGGTGAGGGGTGGAGTAACATGCCTCCACCACAGACTGCCCACACGTGGATACCTGACCCCACTGCGGCCTCTGTTCCCCACATCTGGTGATACCTATTCCAGGAGAAATTGCCACATGTCCCCATGCCTACTGCACATAAACACCGGGAGAGGAAGTTTTGGAGACATGAGCATTCCTGGAAATCAAAGCCTGGAAGGGGACATGGACAGCTCTGTGGGGGCAGTTGGGGGACAGGCAGGGCTTCCTGGAGGTGGTGACCTGGATTTCACAGTACAGATCATGGCGCTAGTCCTGGACCAGGGCAGGATGTAGCCACACAGAGCCGATGGGGCCAGGTTGGTCTCTCATCTCTGGAGTTTATCTGAAGCAGGCTCCTCAGTTTCCTGAAGGCTTTGTCCTTGGTGCCCTCTGGGAGGAGAAGTGTGTGCACTGGGGTTTTACCAGGGAGGGCTTTCTGAGGAGGTCCATGACCCTTGAGAGAGGGGGCACTTGTTCCCCAGTTCAGACAGAAAGCTCAGCCTGTAACCCTGCCGAAGGCACCTACCTGCCAAGCCACCCTGTCCTAAGGATCTGCACAGCAGCCTTTGTTTCCGCTCTGCAGGTGGGGGCGGGAGCCGCATCGGGTCCTCCCGATGCCAGTGCACTGTTCAGAGGACACGGCACCTCCCGTCCCCACGGAAACCAGTCCACTTGTCACAGTTGTTGGTCACCACAGCGACAGCAGAAAGCAGCTCATGCTCTTTGGGGTGCCATTAAGAATGCGTCCAGGGCGCTGCCACCATAGGGCCCAGCAGCGGGATAGCCCATGGGTTTGGGGCACATGGCACCTGTGGAACCGCACCCAGATACATTATAAGTGGGAGGGTAGGAGCAGAAGCTGCAGGGTACTCACCCTCCCAGGGCTCCCGAGCTGGGGTGTGGTGGGTGGATCCTGTCCTGGTCCTGTTTCCACGGTCTGGGTAGAAGTGCTCCTCCTCCCAGCCTGGGGAACACTAGCTAGGCAACTCCCTGTGCCGTGGGTGGTGGCGAGGCCTCCTCGCTGTGCCCACTCACACCCACTCTCAATAACAACTTTCCCTTCCCCCATCCTCAGCAGCCACTCACCTCCAGGCCTCTCCTAGGGAAGTGGGAATCATCCTGGAAGAGGATCAGGCTAGCAGCTCACTGGGTGAGCCTGCCTCTTAGACTCCACCACCACCTCCCGCTGAGGCCACTCGGCACACTCCAGCAGGGTGGGCCTCCTCTGACTTCCCAAGGGACTGGTATTTTAGGGTGGGCTGGTGCACTGGGGTGGGGGCATTTGGGTACTATTTTAAGCATTCCACATGTTTAAATGTTGCCCCATCGTGGTGGGTCCTATCATTTTACAACTAGAGAAAGCAAGGCCAGGAAGGTCCTAGGCCCCTTATGCTCACACCACAAATAGAGATTATCTCTCCCTCTCTGTCCTCAGACTCCAGAGAGGCAGGTGGAACTTGTCCCCAGGGTATGATTTCTTCAGGTGAAGGTGGTGGTCACAAGGTAGTGAGGATGATACAGCCATCCTCTTGAGACCATCCAGACACAAACAGCTGTTTTGTTCCTGGAGGTCCCTGCAGCTGTCTCCAGGAGACCCCTTTGACTCCATGTTCCAGGCAGAGTGAGGTGAGATAACAAGGATTCAAACTTCCACAGCCAGCAGGATGGGTGGGGCCCACCCTGGGATGTCCTCTGGATCTTCTGCTGCATGGCCTTCCATGGGGAGATGTAAAGAACTCTCCAGTCACTCCAGATAGGTGCAGGCACTGATAGACCAAAGAAAGGCATCTGCCCAAGTGCGGCTTGGTTGGTGAGCCAGTGAGTTGATTGGGTTACTTACACAAAGGTGTTTGTGGGGACCCTAAGGCAGCTATACCATCTTGGAGATGTCCTGAAAAGCTTATGGCTGCCAGGCATTGGTGGTGCATACCTTTAATCCCAGCACTCGGGAGGCAGAGGCAGGAGGATCTCTGTGAGTTCGAGGCCAGCCTGGTCTACAGAGCGAGTTCCAGGACAGCCTCCAAAGCCACAGAGAAACCCTGTCTCAAAAAACCAAAAAAAAAAAAAAAAAAAAAAGCTTATGGCTGTACCGCTGAAGGGCCCTAGCAGAATGTGTGACTCACAGAAAAACTGGGGATCCCCCCACTCCCGCTCTGGCCAACCTCTACCTCCTCACAAGGAGGAAAGTGCCTTGTGAGGCTCTCTGAGACCACCCGCTTCAAGAGGCTAGATCTCAAGAGTCTCAGGCTGAGTCGTCACAGATGCTCAGATTCAAGATGGTGGTGGTCATGTCAGCCTACGAAGACAGACACTTCATACCCTCTGCCCACTCTGGGCCCATGGATTAAAGTTGAAAGAGGACACAGATGCTCTCTCTGATGCTGTGCTGTTCAGAGGCACCTGTGGGACTCCCTTGGTGGTGTTGCTTGAACTTTTCCTGGGGATATGAGGACAAACACCTCCTTTTCCCCAGATACAGCACCAACAAATAGACCAAAGAATGATTTCACCTAGTTCTAGCTTAGTGAACCAAAGGGTTTATTGGCTTTCTTACAAAGCATGGGTGGGTGAGGGGTTTCTTACCCCCATCCCAGCAGCTGCATCACTGAACCATCTCCCCCAGTGTGGATGACAACTCCCTCACCCTGCCCCACCCCCCAAAGTAACCCCTGACATTTGATATACTCTAGCATCTTCCGAGCCATCAAGACTGCATGCAACTGGGACAGATCCCATACAGCTGGCTTGGAGGGATAGGACAGAAGGGCTGAGATGTCTGGTGAGGAGTGTGGTACCCTCTTACCCTCTCCTTCAGGGATGGAAGGCCAATATTCAACAGATCTAATCTTAAAGGTCACTTGTTAGTGGTCACAGCTTCCCTGGTGAAGATGGTAAGGGCTGTCATGCTTGGAGGAGGGAATTCTACCACAGGTGGGCAATGACCCCATTGAAGCAGAAGTGGAAAGGGAGGGCCACGCCCAGTTTTCCTGGCCCTATGTCACCACCAAGGGACCCAAGTATCTCAGAGCCCACCCTGCACTCCATCTATTTAGCACTAACCAGCTGAGCCTGGACACAGGCTGCCTTGGCTTGCCCTTCCCAGCACCCAGGTCTCCCTGCAAATTGAGCCTCCTGCCTGGACCAAGCGGTTACTTTCTTGGATACCAAGGATTGACCCTACAGCCCCAACTACAGATCTGTCACCCATTCTTCCTTGGACCGGCTGGCCTTGAATGACTGCTGAGGGATCGACATACACTTGGCCTCAGACCCCTTCCCCTGTCAATCACCCTACACTTAGTCCATTCCCTGGGCTGGGGGCCTGGATAATAATAATAATAATAAAGCCCCAAACTCCAAGTTCTCTCTGCTGTCCAAGTTACACAAGCACCTTCATGGACTATTGACCCACCTCTACCAGGAGGGGGATTGATTAGTCATAGGGTGTTAGGGTGCTGAGTCCCCGGTGCCTAGTACCCCAGCTGCCTCCACTGGCACAAACTTCCAGCTTCCCACCTCTATGTCATATAGAACGTGACTTCCCAGGCGTCTAGGACTGGGGACAGCAAAGGGTGTACATAGCTTCTCCACAGCACAGCAGGACATCTACTGCTGGGGGCCATGACACCCTGTCGTCACGGTGATGCTGGTGGCTGCTCTCAGCCAGAGCTATTTCTGGCCTGAGACTTGCTGTCCTGTCCACTGAGTCACCCTGAACGCTGCCCACTCTGCTCAGAGTCCATAGACACACACACCTCTATGGCCAGTCCCCTGGTCAGAAAGACATCCCAGACCCCCAGCAGTTCTAGACCTGAAGACCCCAGGCTTCTCCCTAGCCTTCACTGCTGAAATGCCCTTCCCCTGCACACCTTACTCTCTGAGAGAGTCTCTGGCCGCCCCATAAGAAGGTACATCTTCTTTAGTGAACACAGAGGGTGTCACAGGGAGAGGGACTCTGGGGATAGAGCTCGCTGTGGCCAGTAGTGTCCCTCAGTGACTTCATTGTCATTCTTGCTACAAAGGGCACCTGATCCTGCCACAAGAACCCATTCATTTCAGAGACCAATACTCAGACCTAGGGTACCATCTTTCTCAAGGAGACCGCAGAGAAGCTCAGGCCTGGCTCTAGCCACCTAGTTCTTTCAGGGAGATGTTCCTATTGTCCCCATCAACCAGACCAAACATATGTGGGGGTGGGAATGGGGGGTGGGGTGCTGCTGCATGGCCTGAGGAATGGTGATTCAGGCACTAGGCCTCTCTGTCTTCACACCTCCCCATCAGAGTCATCACAGCCAACACTGGGTGACAGCCACTGTCCCCAGAGGGGCCTCTGTGTCTGCAGGTGCTGAGCTGGTGTGAACTGTCATCTATAGCTAGCAGTCATTTTTGCACCAGCCCATGCTCACCTGCAGCTTAGCCCTCAAGAGTTCTCACAGGTACACATTCTGGGCCTTCTCATCACCTCCTTGTCCCTTTTCCTGGCCATCAGAGTGAATGGTCGAAAGG